TTGTGCAGACGCCTTTGAACCACATCCCACAAGTGTTCAGATCAGGGCTGAGGGCTTGCCACGGTAGAACACGGATGTTGTGTTGTTGCAGAAAGGCCATGGTAGCTCTGGCAACATGGGGACGAGCATTGCCCTGCTGGAAAATGTGTTGTTGATGTTGTGCAAAAAATGGAACAACATGGGGTTTGATCACTTGGTCGATATACCGCTGAGCAGTGACGCCATGTCCCCGACCTTGACCAACATTCAGAAAGCAGATGGGTCCAAGTCTCGCATTAAGTCCAATCTCTGCCCATATCATAACGTTAGGTCCACCCCATGGATCCCTTTCCACAATGTTTCTGTCAGCGAAACAATCACCTCGATGCCGCCAAATTCTGACTCTTCCGTCTGCATGGGAGACATAAAAGCGACTTTCATCAGAGAAGATGACACGCCTCCACTCACGATGACGCCAATTGTGATGACCCTGTGCCCACTGAAGTCTTGCTTGTCGATGCCCTGGTTGGAGAACAGGACGACGTGCTGGTCGTCGACATCTGAGGTTGATGGAATGGAGACGTCGGATCACAGTGTCCCGGCTAATGTGTCGATTATGTGTTCCTATGGTCTGTTGAGCACTTTCACTTGCAGGAACGGATGTTGCTGGTGTTGACGAGTAATCTGCCGATCTTGTCGAGGTGTGGTGACCCAAGGACGACCGCTCCGAGGAAGGTCATCTGTGGTCTGTGTAGCATTGTATCGATGCAGGAGACGGTAAATTGTGGTTATGTTAACGTTGAAATGAACATCTTGGACAGACTTTCCAGCTTCCAAACGTCTGGTTTCTCTGAATTTGAGTTAGGCGTGGCATTGTTGACCAAGGAGTGGTCGGTCCAAGAATCGGCTACAGTTTTATACACACTACAGTTCGTGACAGTTCGTGACAGTTCGTGCATTTTTGATTTCACGAGAAATGGGTGCATCATACCCCCATATTCATTGAAATGGTGCGTTTTGGCAAATTGTTTTTTATGTTGCGTTTTTATTCAGGGCTTCCAAAATGCAACCAAAATTGTTGGTAACACCATAAGGCTTCACTACATGCTCGTATCAATTTATGGTTCCGTGTTTGTTACCTATTTGCTTAAAACCATTTGCGTTTCTTTTGTGTGTGAGTATACATACTTCAATTAAATTTGTTTCACTCATTCCAGCATCCATACTATTTTGCCACAGTGAGTGAGTGAGTGAGTGAGTGATGGAGAGATTGAGAGAGTGAGATGACACATTAACAAATTAAACATCATGATGATTATTCAAGATCATAAAATACTTCACTGACATTTTAAAAATAAGTGATGACACATATTAAAACAATTTTGATTCATTATTTTAAAAACTAGTCCTGAGTCGATAAACTAGATAAACAACGGATCTGTCTACACACCCTCAGGGGGAATTTAAATGCATGAAATTCCTGCATATGGACACTTAACACGGTCACCATGGTGATTGAAGCTTGACACAAGCCTGCTTACAAACGAGAGTTTGCAAAGCATGTTTCAAGTGGACTAATCCATTTCCTGCTTCTTGTATCAGTGCTTCCCTCACACCTAAAGAAATGATAGTTAATTTCTTGGCTTTTATCATGGAAAATATATACAGTAACAAAAACCTAGCTTGCTGCAACGAAAAATACAGTAACGAAAGCTGCTGCAAGAATCTTCCTTTTGGGGATTGTAGGCATCAAATAATTGAATTTGTTCCAAATTGGGCTACAAAAGTATAACTAACACAGGAAAAGAAGCTTTGAGTCAACATGGCCAAAACTTTAATGGACAGAAAACATTGGAATTTATTACATGCAGAAAACATCATCATCTTGTACATCTTCCTCAGCATACATGAAACTTTCATCAGGAATCAGATGACCCGAGAATATCTCTAGGTTGAAATATGTCTTCAGCAACCCATGCTTGCCGTAAAAGGCAACTATGCCTGTCGCAAGAGGTGACTAATGGGATCGGGTGGTCAGGCTCGCCGACTTGGTTGATGCATGTCATAGTATCCCAATTGTGTATTTATTACCCCTAATGCAACAGGATTATTTCCATCATGTCAGTGCATCCATAGTTAAATTGTTTCCATGGTTACGGTGCTTTCATGGTGAAAGTGTTCTGATGAATATAATGATCACTTGGTTACAACACTCTCATGGTTACATCATTGCCATGGTTACAGTGCTTCAAAGGTTACAGTGCAACCATGGTTACATTCTTGTCATGGTCACAGTGTTCTGATGGTCATTATGATCACCTGGTTACATCACTCCAATGGATACAGTGCTTTCCAGGTTACAGTGCAACCATCAGCCCTCTGAGTAGCGACCATTTTGGTGGCCAAATGCAACCAACTCTAGGATTGGTGATCTAAATTTATCTACTGCTCATCACTTGGCTACTTAATGGTAAACACAACTGTCGACAATATCTGTTTAAGATATCTGTTGACCCCTAAAAACTGAAGTTTAGATCCTAAAATATTCAAACTAGGAGTTGCTTGGCACCATCGCGAAAAAATGAACTTAGAGGACTGACAATGGTTACATTGCTTGCCAGCTTACAGTGCAACCATGGTTACAATACTATCAGAGAGTGAGTGTGATTTTACACCAATTTTAGCAATAATCCAGCAATATCACGGCAGGGAAATCAGAAATGGTCTTCACACATTGTACCCATGTCGGGAATCAAACCCAGGTGTTCAGCGAGGTGAGTGAACGCTTTAACCACTAGGCTACCGGACTACCCCTACAATACTTTCAATGACCCGACACAATATAGTCGTCCTCCACAAATGACTGCTCTTCACAACAGCAGTGGGAACATGGTGTCCAACAGCTGTAAGCACTTGGATAGAATCCAAGCTCAGGGCGTATGAATTTGAAAGTTGTTACATACGCCTCCAAAAGTAGGACTGCCATGATGCTTTCAGATATTAAGTCTTACATCTTTCATCATCATTTTCTTAAATAATAAGACTACATGTTCTACAGACAATAACTAATGTCAAAATGAATCCATAGTTTGAAGGGCTGTACTGGAGAAAGTTACATTATAACTCAATACAGAACATCACAATTACATTCGACCTTTCCTTAAAAACTTTCTTTAAAAAATACAAGAAAAAACACCATTTTGCCCACAGGCAGATTCTTTACTTCTTAACTGGCCTTGTCTCACACCTGGCCTTGTCTCACACCTGGCCTTGTGTCACACCTGGCCTTGTGTCACACCTGGCCTTGTGTCACACCTGGCCTTGTCTCACACCTGGCCTTGTCTCACACTTGGCCTCATCTCAAACCGGGCCTTGTCTCACACCTGGCCTTGTCTCACACCTGGCCTTGTGTCACACCTGGCCTTGTGTCACACCTGGCCTTGTCTCACACCTGGCCTTATCCCACACCTGGCTTTGTCTCACACCTGGCCTCATCTCACACTTGGCCTCCAGGTAATATCCTGGAAATTTTTACCTGTGCAAGAAAATCTCCCCTGGTCCAAAAGCAATGAGATTTTTTGGTGTGTGATGAGATTTTGCTAATTTTCAGAGATATTTCATCTTCACACCGGGATGAAACTGTATTTGATTTTTGGTACTTGTGACTCAAATAATGTTGCAAGTAATATTACTAGACTATATAGATATATCCTCGGATATCCTATTTTTGAACATTAATTATTCCACTGGAATACATATATTTAGCATATATTAGCATTAGCATGAACAAAAAATTACATTCGACTTATATTTCTGTTCATTGTCTACTTTAGGAGAAATCACACCAATATGTATGTATTTCTGTTCATAGTTGACTTGATGGGGGATTATTCGCGAGGACAATTATAGATCATTTAGGAGGCATGTTTACCACCATCAGCTGTTCATTTCGTTGGCATGCAGGAGACAACAATCTGCAGTTATCAAATTTGGACAATGTGTGTTTAGATTGTAATTCAATATATTTAGAGTGATGACATGAAATAGCAACTGTTGTAAATGGTATTACAGTGTGTTGGCAAAAAATATATTATTTACATTCCAGTACTTTCGTCAATTTTGAGGTCTTATTTCCATCTGAAGTGTGTACCATATCAGAGGCTGGGTCTGTGACTGTATCAAATGAAATCTTATCAATATGGACTTTTCAATTAATTAATTAGAAGTGACAGTTCATTATACAATGACTATTGCTCCAGGTTCACCCTCTTGTTTAATAAGCAACAATTAAGTCATTTATTTCACATAGAAGGCGGTGTGTTTGCAATGGGCAGCAGCCAGAAAATGTTTACGAGTAACTGGAAGTTGAAAAGACTGTTGACATTCACAATGTATAAGAGTTATATTTAAATGATTAAGTCACAGTTTTCAATTTTTATGGACAAATTTGGAAGCAAAAGTATCGTGGCATATTCTAAAAAATCTAAATCCAACTTGCTGTTTGGCCACTAGAAATAGTTAAAATAGTTTCATTATGCACAGTGGCCATTCTTGTCTTCCACAAGGGTACGTTCATAAAAACTCATCCACTGTTGCTGTCAGTGGCTAGGCGAATCTCATCTAAAATACAATCGTTTCAGATCTGAAATTTGAAGATTATGAAAAAAGTTGTATGTATAAATTTTTATTTTTTTTTGCTGTCATTCCAAAATCAAAATTTGCTCGTATTTTGAAACTTTACCCGTAATTAACTTTTTCTCTCTTGATTTCTACGCAGATGTACATACATGTAGATCAATGTCTTTGATTTCTGCTAGGATTTAAAAAAAATATGTTTAAGGACTTGTAGTTGGAGATCACTGAATAAGTTTTTCGTGCGCTACCAAACTGTTTAGTTTTTAAAAACAAACATTCGTTTTGCCAATCACACCCGGCCTCATCTCACATCTGGCCTTGTCTCACGTTCCAGATTCAACACAAATTTATTTGTAAACTTCATGATGAGAATATTCTACACTCACCCTTTTTCAAGATCTCGGATTTTAGTTTCAAGCATGTGAAGTTCATTTTCTATGTATCTGTCCGAACTTCTGAAACAGAGAAACCATTGTTACAGTTACAAGAAGTATAGAGATGACCAGGACACCTTAAACATTAGTGAAGTGTTACTTATATGTACACGACCGGTGAAGATCCCGGGTCTTCAGCAACCCATGCTTGCCGTAAAAGGCAACTATGCTTGTCGTAAGAGACGACTAACGGGATCAGATTGTCAGGTTCGCTGACTTGGTTGATGCATGTCATCGTATCCCAATTGGCTGGATTTATGCTCATGATGTCAGTCACTGGATTGTCTGGTCCAGACTCGATTATTTACAGGCCGCCGTCATAGAACTGGAATATTGCTGAGTGCGGCGTTAAACAACAAACCAACCAAATCAAAACTTTGTGTACAGTGTGTGGAGTGTTTTGTTTCGTTTGTTTGTTGTTTAATGCCACACTCAGCAGTATTCAAGCTATATGACGGTGGCCTGTAAATAATCGAATCTGGACCAGACAATCCAGTGATTGATATCATGATCAATTGGGATCGATGACATACATCAACCAAGTCAGCAAACCTGACCACCTGATCCCGTTAGTTGCCTCTTACGACAAGCATAGTTGCCTTTCACGATAAGCATGGGTTGCTTAGACCTATTCTACCCCAGATCTTCACGGGTGATGTGGAGTGTTACTTACTCAAGCATGGGTACAGTGGAGCTACACTATAGTGTCAACACAAGGAACACAAGCAGGGGTACAGTGGAGCTACACTATCCCAACATCAACACTTGGAAGACAAGCATGGGTACAGTGGAGCTACACTATCCAAACATCAACACAGGGAAGACAAGCATGGGTACAGTGGAGCTACACTATCCCATCAACACAGGGAAGACAAGCATTGGTACAGTGGAGCTACACTATCCCAACATCAACACAGGGAAGACAAGCATGGGTACAGTGGAGCTACACTAACCCAACAACACAGGGAAGACAAGCATGGGTACAGTGGAGCTACACTATCCCAACATCAACACAGGGAAGACAAGCATGGGTACAGTGGAGCTACACTATCCCAACATCAACACAGGGAAGACAAGCATGGGTACAGTGGAGCTACACTATACCAACAACACAAGGAACACAAGCATGGGTACAGTGGAGCTACACTATCCCAACATCAACACAGGGAAGACAAGCATGGGTACAGTGGAGCTACACTATAGTGTCAACACAAGGAACACAAGCAGGGGTACAGTGGAGCTACACTATCCTGTCAACACAGGGAAGACAAGCATGGGTACAGTGGAGCTACACTATAGTGTCAACACAAGCTATATGACGGTGGCCTGTAAATAATCGAATCTGGACCAGACAATCCAGTGATTGATATCATGATCAATTGGGATCGATGACATGCATCAACCAAGTCAGCAAACCTGACCACCTGATCCCGTTAGTTGCCTCTTACGACAAGCATAGTTGCCTTTCACGATAAGCATGGGTTGCTTAGACCTATTCTACCCCAGATCTTCACGGGTGATGTGGAGTGTTACTTACACAAGCATGGGTACAGTGGAGCTACACTATAGTGTCAACACAAGGAACACAAGCAGGGGTACAGTGGAGCTACACTATCCCAACATCAACACTTGGAAGACAAGCATGGGTACAGTGGAGCTACACTATCCCAACATCAACACTTGGAAGACAAGCATGGGTACAGTGGAGCTACACTATACCAACAACAACACAGGGAAGACAAGCATGGGTACAGTGGAGCTACACTATACCAACAACACAAGGAACACAAGCATGGGTACAGTGGAGCTACACTATCCCAACATCAACACAGGGAAGACAAGCATGGGTACAGTGGAGCTACACTATCCCAACATCAACACAGGGAAGACAAGCATGGGTACAGTGGAGCTACACTATAGTGTCAACACAAGGAACACAAGCAGGGGTACAGTGGAACTACACTATCCTGTCAACACAGGGAAGACAAGCATGGGTACAGGGGAGCTACACTATCCCAACATCAACACTTGGAAGACAAGCATGGGTACAGTGGAGCTACACTATACCAACAACAACACAGGGAAGACAAGCATGGGTACAGTGGAGCTACACTATCCCAACATCAACACAAGGAACACAAGCATGGGTACAGTGGAGCTACACTAACCCAACAACACAGGGAAGACAAGCATGGGTACAGTGGAGCTACACTATCCCAACATCACAAGGAACACAAGCATGGGTACAGTGGAGCTACACTATCCCAACATCAACACAAGGAACACAAGCATGGGTACAGTGGATCTACACTTTCCAAACAAGAACAATTATAGAGTACTGGTGATCTATTCTGACACGGAATCCCATGGGGGAGGAGAATGGGGTACGGGGGAGGAGAATGGGGTACATGGGACTCCAGTGGCTTGTGGTAGAAAGAACTCACCTCTTGTGTCTATCATCGATGCCGGGCAGACTGCCATACACAACTGAAATGGAGATCACAAAGGATGCATCAATGACCGCTCTGAGATGATGTGTTGAAATGTGAAAGAAGGAAAAAAAACCCAGTGGGTTTGTTATTCCACTGACGTAAACAATAAGTAAAACGTGAAAGACTGACTCACTTACTGTCGTTATAAATATATATATATTAATTAAAATTAAACCATTAAACCTATTGAATTCATTTCTTAAAACCCTCACCCCCATTTAATTTTATGTCTTTCTTACCTATTTAACATCTTCAGGAAATTTTGGTATTTTAATTATTTCATCCTACCAATTTGAGTTTTGGGGCCAGAAATGCTTAACATTCAATCAGTACAAAACATAACCATGTATGATTGATGGATGGATGGATGGATGGATGGATGGATGGATGGATGCCAGTGCAGGAAAATAAGTCGTAGCAGTCTTCTGGACCAACAGCTAAATTCCACTTCAAATATGTGTAATTGGGATGGAATAACTGATAAAATACAACAGCTTTCAGCATCACTGAAGTACTGATATTGACTCAACAACAGTTGTATTGTCTCTCAAGCTGGATCAATAGTCACACCATTGTTAGTCTCATGATACTGACTGCTGTTTCAGGAAGGCTTCATCACACTGGTTTTCAGACTGAGTTGGTTGGTTTGTTTGTTGTTTAACGCCGCACTCAGCAATATTCCAGCTTTATCACGGTGGTCTGTAAATAATCGAGTCTGGACCAGACAATCCAGTGATTGAAATCATGAGCATCGATCCGCACACATGCATCAACCAAGTCAGCGAGCCTGACCACCCGATCCTGTTAGTCGCTTTTTACGACAAGCATAGTCACCTTTTCACGGGTCTTCAGACGGGAGTACTGCTCAGTACAAAAATAACTCGGTCTAATGAGGTTACCTGTCAATATTAGTCCAAGCAGAAGGTACAATATACAGTATTGTATACCCTGCATGGATCATTTTGTACTAAATCAAAAATGGACGGTGAAGATCCGGGGTAGAATAGGTCTTCAGCAAACCATGCTTCTCGTAAGAGGCGACGATCGGGTGGTCAGGCTCACTGACTTGGTTGATGTATGTCATCGTATCCCAAATGCGTGGATCGATGTCATGATGTCAATCACTGGATTGTCTGGTCCAGACTCGATTATTTACAGACCGCTGTCATATATAGCTGGAATATTGCTGAGTGCGGTGGAAAACAACAATCAAACAAACTAAATTGAAAATAGCATGACAATTTCAGATATGGGAATAAAGTTTCATAGATAACAGTAACCCACGTTTATAGCAACCAAACTGATAACGAACTGAAGGATGTAATGAACTGATTTTTCAGTCCCGGTCACTGGCTGTATATATAAAAAAAAATTAAAAATGGATAAAGAACAGGCTTATAATGAAATAACCGATATGGCGAACTCACTTTGTGGTCCCATGCGCACTCTGTCAACGACAATGCTCATGTTTATAATGAACTGTTAATCTCTGAGTTGTCAGCTGCCACCTATCAGCCACGTACGGCTGCTCAAAGCAGAAATAAACAATTGCCTGCAAATGATTCACTGATTAAGTACTGCACATTGTCCTCATTGTACCCCCTCAATTAACAATGGTAAAAATGTGATCAGGCTATAGCCTTTGAAGTGGATATATTCTGTTGAAATGCTCATAAATTCTGTTGAAATGCTTATAACTAACTAAAATTAGTGGACCATTTGAATTTGTTATAACCGTCTTTAACTGTCATGGACACTATAGCCCCTCTCTTTTGTAAGTTACGCTCTGGTAATGATTGTTTGTTTGCTTGTTTGTTGTTTAACGCCGCACTCAGCAATGTTCCAGCTATATGACGGCGGTCTGAAAATAAACGAGTCTTGACAAGACAATCCAGTGAGTGATATCATGAGCATCGATCCACACACAAGCATCAACCAAGTCAGCGAGCCTGACCACCCAATCCTGTTAGTCGCTTTTTACGACAAGCATAGTCACCTTTTCACGGGTCTTCAGACGGGAGTACTGCTCAGTACAAAAATAACTCGGTCTAATGAGGTTACCTGTCAATATTAGTCCAAGCATAAGGTACAATATACAGTATTGTATACCCTGCATAGATCATTTTGTACTAAATCAAAAAAGGACGGTGAAGATCCGGGGTAGAATAGGTCTTCAGCACCCCATGCTTGCTGTAAAAGGCGACTATGCTTCTCGTAAGAGGCGACTAACGGGATCGGGTGGTCAGGCTCACTGACTTGGTTGATGTATGTCATCGTATCCCAAATGCGTGGATCGATGTCATGATGTCAATCACTGGATCGTCTGGCCCAGACTCGATTATTTACAGACCGCTGTCATATATAGCTGGAATATTGCTGAGTGCGGTGGAAAACAACAATCAAACAAACTAAATTGAAAATAGCATGACAATTTCAGATATGGGAATAAAGTTTCATAGATCACAGTAACCCACGTTTATAGCAACCAAACTGATAACGAACTGAAGGATGTAACGAACTGATTTTTCAGTCCCGGTCACTGGCTGTATATTTAAATTTTTAAAAAAATTGGATAAATAACAGGCTTATAATCATGATAATGAAATAACCGATATGGCGAACTCACTTTGTGGTCCCATGCGCACTCTGTCAACGACAATGCTCATGTTTATAATGAACTGTTAATCTCTGAGTTGTCATCGGTCATCTATCAGCCACGTACGGCTGCTCAAAGCAGAAATAAACAATTGCCTGCAAATGATTCACTGATTAAGTACTGACACATTGTCCTCATTGTACCCCCTCAATTAACAATGGTAAAAATGTGATCAGGCTATAGCCTTTGAAGTGGATATATTCTGTTGAAATGCTCATAAATTCTGTTGAAATGCTTATAACTAACTAAAATTAGTGGACCATTTGAATTTGTTATAACCGTCTTTAACTGTCATGGACACTATAGCCCCTCTCTTTTGTAAGTTACGCTCTGGTAATGATTGTTTGTTTGCTTGTTGGTTGGTTAACGCCGCACTCGGCAATATTCCAGCTATATGACGGCGGTCTGAAAATAAACGAGTCAGGACCAGACAATCCAGTGAGTTATATCATGAGCATTGATCCACACAATTTGGATACGAGGACATGCATCAACCAAGGCAGCGAGCCTGACCAACCGATCCCGTTAGTCGCCTCGTACGACAAGCATAATCGCCTTTTACGTCAAGCATGGTTTGCTGACGACCTGTTCTACCCGGGATCTTCACGGGTCCTCTGGGTATGAAGGTAACCTATATATGTGTTAAGTACATCCTGTTGCCAATGAACCATCAAAAGGCACCAGTTCAGCATGTTATGCTCCGGAAATGAATGCTACATGTACTTGCGTAATAAGTCGAGTTCGTTGCTGAGGAATTGACATAAAATATTGTTTTTAAGAAATTCCAAAACATCTTAAGGCACCAGTTCAGCATGTGTTTGATACATATGCGAATTTTCATGACAATATATTAAATGTTATGCTCGGGAAACGAATGTTACATATATTTGAGTCTGTTGCCATCATGACCATAGAATCACCAAAAATTAAAGATAATACTAAAACATGAAGAGGCACAAGTTCAGGATATTTTTATACATATGCAAATTTTCATAATAAAATATTAAACGGTTTCCGAGCTATCCACCGGAAACGAAACGTGATGAACAGACAAACGCACGGAAAGCATCCTATATCCCCCTCCCTCTTCATGGCCGAAAAATAATCACATCCATGGCACAGCTTCTGGGTGTATCATGGCAAGTTTATTAGTGACATTGCAAACATTGTTCTGTCTCCCAACCTGTTACACCATGTTACACAAAGGAATGTTTTGCCAGTACAATTATCATGTTTTCAGCTGTTATTCATTTTTATTCATGCTACAGATGTGTAGCAATAGAATTTAGTTGCCACAAGATATTTTTCAAGGTAGTCATTTGGCAACCTCTGAATTTTAGCCAGTAGACAAACTGAAATTTAGGTCGCATTGGTGTCCGTTTTAGCTGCAACTTTGAGGCCTAGACTCTTTATACATCTATTATCCCAAACAGTATCTCCCTTTTACAATCTAAAGTTATTGTACACAAGTATATGATCACATTACCCAATGCCTGTTCAAATCACTTTTTATCTTTGATTTTAGTATCACCCTTCAATACATCTTTCATGCCGAATAGTAGCTTCCTCTTAAATCTTAAGTTCTAATATTACCCGGTAAGGTCTATGTTTGTTTATGTTACTCAGTGCTTTTCAAAATCATTATCTTCTTTTAATTTAAAATAACTCTCAATAGCGTATGCCCTTTTGTTATATCTCAGCATCTATAATGCATACTTAATGCATCCAATTGATTTGAGTGAGTGAGTATGGTTTTACGCCGCTTTTAGCAATATTCCAGCAATATCACGGCGGGGGACACCAGAAATGAGCTTCACACATTGTACCCATGTCGGGAATCGAACCCGGGTCTTCGGCGTGACGAGCGAACGCTTTAACCACTAGGCTACCCGACCGCCCCCCAATTGATTTGAAAGTCCATCAAAGTTCATGTCTTTTGTGTGTACCTTAAAAGTGTTGGGTATACTTGTTACGTGTTGCTTTGTCTAAACATTATATAGTAGTGTAGACAATGACAGTTCTACCGCAACCCCACTTGAACCAGATTTATATTCCTATACTGCTACTACAGAGGGAATTTTTTATGTCAAAATGATGATGTGATTCAATGAACGTCATGAGATTAAGCTAAATTGACTCTAGCTTACAACCACCTGGAGCCAATCAATGCTTTTATGATATGTTATTAGAGACAATGACAGTTTTACCACAAACCCACTAGAGCCAGATTTATATACCATATATCGCTGTGTATAAAGCGACCCCACCTATATGATGACCCCCCTGTACACGCCTTCAAAATCGACCCAAGATTCCTATACTCCATGTATAAAGCGACC